TTCTGTGTTTACCTAGTGGGCTCATCATGCTCTGTTTTCTTTTGCCAGTTAGATGTTCATTCAAACGTACGCCCAATGGTCGGCCGGTCTCACCAATGTAATTGGCGGAACATTTTAAACAATGGATTTCGTAAACGACACCACATTTTGTGCAATCTCCGATTTTTCCGTATGGGCAGATCGCGCAATCTCGTAAGTTACAAGCTTTGTCGTATAGTCTATTGTGGACTAGTTGTTTCTTTATGTTGTCGCGAGGAATATGCACTAGAATAACGTCATCCTCGAGATTCGCTTGTATCAGGCATCGCTTGATCGCCATAGTGACTTTTTCAGAGATAAAGGGCAGGCATAAAGGTACCTTGTTGGTGACCTATTAAGCTATAGAAAATTGTTGCATTGTCACGACAACACAGTCCGAGATGGACGAGTGTTTTAAAATACTCAATCAACAGTCTAAGTACATAAGTTTAACAAGAGAGAAACCTCGAAACGGTTGGTTGGCCTACTTGAACATGCAGATGACGTTTGTAGATGGCTCAGTATGCACCAAATGGTACCGCAAAGAAAGTAGCAAAAACATAATCTTGCACGCTCAATCCGCTCACGCACTAGCCGTTAAACGTGCCGTAATTCGCAATATGTTGAAAACGGCAGCGAAGAGCAGTACTGGTGAGATTGAGAAGCATGAATCACTGAAACTGGCGGCCGATATAATGTTATCCAATGGTCATACAACACGACCCAGACGAAACAAAAAGGCAACAGCGCAACTAAAAGATCAGGTCACCAACAAGGTACCTTTATGCCTGCCCTTTATCTCTGAAAAAGTCACTATGGCGATCAAGCGATGCCTGATACAAGCGAATCTCGAGGATGACGTTATTCTAGTGCATATTCCTCGCGACAACATAAAGAAACAACTAGTCCGCAATAGACTATACGACAAAGCTTGTAACTTACGAGATTGCGCGATCTGCCCATACGGAAAAATCGGAGATTGCACAAAATGTGGTGTCGTTTACGAAATCCATTGTTTAAAATGTTCCGCCAATTACATTGGTGAGACCGGCCGACCATTGGGCGTACGTTTGAATGAACATCTAACTGGCAAAAGAAAACAGAGCATGATGAGCCCACTAGGTAAACACAGAAAGGTAGAGCACGAAGGAACGGATTACGATATAAGGTGCACAATACTAGCCTATGAAAGTCAAATAGCTGCGCGAAAGGCTTTGGAAGCGTCTTTCATTCTTACGCGTGATCCCAAAATGAACAGCAAGAATGAACAGTTATCCATTACCGCTGATCTCATGCCGTATCTTCCGTTTTGCGAGCTATAGATCGTCTGAGCGTATATAAACAGTTATGTGACATACACACTACTCATTCTTGTGTCACCACAGTCGAACGGGCTCGTCTAAAGCGGTTGCACACTGCAATATCGGTAATACACTGGTGAGTGAAAGTCATGGCCCAACCTCCTTCTTCCACACTAGATGAATCGAATACGCAAGTGGGAAGAGGTGTTTGGCGGTCAAGAGCAGACATCCATGTGACTGACACCTTTCAGGCCTCTGATGACGGCGTGTAGCCGAAACGTAAGACAATAAAGTGTATTACTATAAAAAACCTGTACGGCACAGAACAAATACTGAAGTTATCTTTCAAATGCCCAGGTTTCAAGATATAAGGACTTTCAAGATAGTCCTGATTGCTTTCCAAAAAATCCGCTGGGTGCGAGAGATCAGCAATCTATTTTTCCGGTGCCCGCCTGCCCCCGGCGATTGTCTGAGCGGGCGGAAAAATAGTTCGCTGATTTCTTGCGGTCCGCCTGCAGATATTTGGAAGAATTTTTGCGAAATCTTAGACAGCGGTCGCATTCTCGCGGACTTTCCGCGAGAATATGCAAAATTTTCGGGGCCACACGGTCCTTTGTGGAGGGGCAGCCCCCAGGCTGAGAGAAAGTCCTCAAACTTGAGTAATCAAACCAACGGTGCACCTCTGCCACACAGAGTCTTACTCGTGCTCGGCGTATGCCCGAAAAGAGTCCGAGCGCCTGCTGAAAGTTTGGCCTGCGCTCGCTGAAAGAAATTATTTGCTGAGCGCTTGCAGAAAATGCTGTAGTGCTGCCCGCTAGCAGAATATGCGACCGTAAAGGAAGTGCCGCCAGCTGAAGGTTTGGCCACGCCCCAAAATTCTGTTGACCGCTTGCAGAAAAGCGCGAGTTTGCGGACCGCCTGCCCCCGGCGATCATCTGAGTGCTTAGATTAATCGCGCGGGGCAGGCGGTTTGCGAACTCGCGTTTTCTTGCAGGCGGTCAGCATAATTTTGGGGCGTGGCCAAGCCTTCAGCAGGCGGTTTCTCCTTTACTCAGATAATCTCCGGGGGCAGGTGGTCCGCAAACTCGCGGGTCAACAGAGTTTTGGGGCGTGGCCAAACCTTCAGCTGGCGGCAGTTCCTTTACAGTCGCATATTCTGCCCGCGGGCAGCAACACAGCACTTTCTGCAAACGCTCGGCAAATAATTTCTTTCAGCGAGCGCTGGCCAAACTTTCAGTGAGCGGGCGGACTCTTTTTAAGCAGTTTCGAGCATACGCCGAGCGCAGGTAAGACTAGGTGTGGCAGAGGTATCACCGTTGGTTTAATTACTCAAGTTTGAGGTACTTTCTCTTAGCGGAAAGTACCCGAGGGATGTGCGGCCCTCCACAAAGGACCGCGCAGCCCACAATAATCTTGCATATTCTAGCGGAAAGTCCGCGAGAATGCGGCCACTGCGCCGGCTAATACATAAGGAAACCGCGATTGTTCTCCGAGCATTCGTCTAAAATTTCTCTAAAATTCTTTCAAATATCTGCAAGCGGACCGCAAGAATTCAGCGAACTATTTTTCCGGTGCTCGCCCGCCAATAAATCGCATGACCGCCTGCCCCCCCCCCCCCCCGCGATTATCTGAGTATTATCGAATGTCCTGCTAGCGGGGCAGAACACAGAGTTTTCTGCGGGCGCTCGTCAAATAATCTCTTTCAGCGAGCGCTGGCCAAACTTTCAGCAAGCGCTCGGACTCTTTTTAGCCGTTTCGGGCGTACGCCGAGCAAATGTGAAACTCTATGCTGCAGAGGTGTCATCGATGGTTTAAATACTCAAGTTTGAGGTACTTTCTCTTAGCGGAAAGTACCCGAGGGATGTGCGGCCCTCCACAAAGGACCGCGCAGCCCACAATTTTGCATATTCTAGCGGAAAGTCCGCGAGAATGCGGCCAATGCGCCGCAACTAATCTATACGAAAATCGCAATAGTTCGGTATCTCCGAGTATTCGTCTAAAAATTGGTCAACATTCTTCCAAATTTCTACAAGCGGGCCGCAAGAAATCAGCAAATTTTCCGGTGCCCGCTTGCTCAAAATACACATGGCCGCCTACCCCCGGCGATTATCTGAGTGGGTGGTAAGTCCAAGAAATTGATCAATCTCTTCTCAAGAGATCTCATTACCCGGTAAAAAACCGTTAAAGACAGCGTAAACCCAGAATTTTGTCTGCCATAATTTTATCGTTATCGGGCCCTTACATGGCGCTGATTGGATATGAGGTTCAAATTATTGGAAAACTTTGAAACTGTCCCTTTCTGAAGGCCTAATTTGGCAGACGTGGAGAGTGCTCTGACGCTATTCAATCGTACACTACAGGAAACCCCGTCGCCTGCAATAGTGTCATATCACAAACTATGGTCTCGACGTTGCTTGTCATGTCAGAACACGTCTTGGGGCAATCTGTGGGCGGGTGTAGCGCAAAAAAGGGCGGAGCGCAAAGAGGATCCGGTCTGTTATCTTTTTTTGTAAGCAACATTAGGGGACCGGACTAAAGCGGTTGGTCTACCTTTCAGGGCTTGCTGGTAGGATAAGTAGTAATTTGGGGTGAGTAGATTTTGGGTGGGCGCTGCCTTCAAGATTTCTACTTTTATCATAGCTGTGTGCGACAAACTCAGCTTGCAAACAGCAAAATACTACTTTGACCATTATATTAGGTCGTCCCGAAAGTTCTTTCGCACCAAATTCAAAAATTCATAACTAGTTGAATTCAACGAATTTACAAGGACTAAATTTTATATAAGAGAGAAACTCATGCTCTTTGCTTAAGTCCCTGAACGGCTCGTTAATGTGTACAAATGAAGGAGATAGAAGCTCAAAGCCAAAATCACTCAAAATTTGAATTTTTTGTGTGGGTTCATAAAAAATCGAAAACTTGCAACAAATATCGGAGCAGTCGGTATTGTAGGTTCTTTTATCCGCTCCTTCTAACAGTGCAAAGTTTGCGCCGATTGAGCGTCTCTGCGAAAAGTTATGATTTTTGAGCAAGCAATACAAAAGGGCGAATTTGATTTATTTTGGCATTTTTCAGGGAATTCATAACTTTTCACAAAGACGCTCAATCGGCGCAAACTTTGCACTGTTGTAAAGAGCTTGTGAAAGAACCTACAATATCGACTGCTCCGATTTTTGTTGCAAGTTTCCGATTTTTTATGAACCTACACGAAAAATTCAAATTTTGAGTGATTTTGGTTTTGAGCTTCTATCTCCTTTATTTGTACACATTAACGAACAGTTCAAGTACAGTTGCAAAGAGCATGAGTTCCTCTCTTAAACAAAATTTAGATCTTATAAATTCGTTCAGAATTCAACAAGTTATGAATTTTTGAATTTGGTGCGAAAGAACTTTCGGGGCAACCTAATATTATCAATGCGCTGAAGAAATTTTTTGCTTTCTTTGGACTTCTCATTAAGTTGAATCCTCCCTGAAATTCGCTCGCAGTAAACGTGGATGAGTGTAAACGGACTTAGATACAATTAGCCACAGTTTTTTCTTTGTATCTTCAACTGTACACACTGGTTTAACTGAAATCAGCCAGCGTTGCTGACGAGAGTCGCAAGATGAGAAGTGTTTTCCCTCAGACTTAGTGCCATTTATAATATACATTTGTCTGCACAATGATATATGCTGCTAGTTCAGGAAAACAGCAGTGCCATCGACAAGACACGGCATTCCCAAAGTGAGCACGATTTCTTTTCCTAAAAGGGAACTATATCTGTCGCCGATTTAAAAACTGAACAAGTACCACTCTTTCCACTTTGATGAATCACTATCATATAGGCTGCTTTTCTAAAATTTTTACACAATATGCAAAACAATACAGGATTGGAAGAATTGCGGTGGAATAAGTGCGCATCAGTGGCTTTGCAAAAAGTAAGTTTTGAACTTAATGCCAACTCTTAAAACTTAAAAAAATGTGGTACGGTGTAGTGAGCTCAAGCACGAATGCCCCCTCTATTTCAATTAATTGCCTAAAGGCTATGTCCAGACTTTGCATACGAATGACTTCATCGTGCAAAAATAATTGAGGGTACCGACTACAGGCTCCTTCGCTCTAATCAACTATAGCTTTTGTCGAGAGGAAAACCCGAATCTAAAGACTTCGTTGCCTTGTTATTTTGTGAAGCATAAACATACCGTCTACTAGATTTTTAGTTGGACGGAAGATGCATTACTATCAAAACTTGCAATCACGAGAAAAGTCCTTCCAAGAATTAGTAAACTTTTGCATACAGTTAAGTTTCGTGCATCAGTAATGCTCAACAAAGCACGCTTTTTTCCTATTGGCTCTGTCCCACAATGCAAGGTTGGAATTTTGCATCACTAGTTCTACTTAATTCAAGCAGCTCCGTTCCTCAACGTAACATTTGCCACACATGTTATATCGACTCTTGTTCAATCAAGACTATAGTCGGTTTTTTCTGCGACTTTAACCGAAATGCTGTTCTTGCTACGTAATCATCACCTAGCGAAATACCTAAAACATCGCTTTTACACCTCCCATCGACGAAAGCGACTCTTTCGTCGGACGTCCGGCGTTGTCATTTAATTCCAATTGGACTAAGCTACGTTCATTTGCTCACAGGCGTCGGCGATTGTTTCGCAGTCCGTCACTTCAAGAAAGTCTCAGACCTAAGGCACACCCCCCGCGATTCCGTCAAATCGCTACATACACGCGACTTGGCGTTTTGCCAGATGCCTACATATTAATCGGCGCTAGTGTCGAATGCATAGGCGGTAACTTTTGTAGGTTCTCGCAAAAGTAACAAATCTGATCCAAGTAAAGTGCGTCACAAATAATTATGAAGGGTTGTGCAGTGTTAGATCGCGCAGCAACTGACATCGCGTGAAGTATGCCTTAGAGCTAAAAAATCAGGATTGGAGACTTTTTCGCCTCAAGTGAACGTTAATATTCTTCATTTTATTATCGTTCCCGGGATTCCATTCTTCCAAGTTCAACCACGATACACTTCGGTAAGCGCACTTCTCATTTTACTTCATATCTAGTTTATTCTCATGATTCACAGCGGCAAGTGGTTGCCTTCGCCATGGCCTAGTTCACAGAGCCGATAAAATTGAACTTTGATGCACTCTTACATAAACAGGAAAATATTAAACAATTTCATGCTTTTATCTCGTTGCACACAGTTCCTGTCGTAATGGAGTAAAATGCGGTTCCCAAAAAACGTACTCTTCATAGCTCGTGCTGAATCGAATCAGTTTTCGCGGTATTTCGTTGCTCCCACTTCAGAAACGCAAAATGACTAAACGCTTTTCGTTATGGTCCTTCAACAACGGCATGAATGGCGTTACTGGGGCAATGTTTTCGCACCTCCATTGACTCATTGAGGTGATTATGATGATGTTTCGGCTGTGCACACTCCGGTTCAGAATCATTATCTAATACAGGAAGCAAGCTTTCGGTAAGTTGACCAGCAGCTAATGTTAGTTTGTTCTCCCATATCAGGCTCCAAGATAAATAGTTCTATAAAAAGTGAACGGTCAAACTTTGTCACCCCGTGTATGCGCCAGCCGAAACTGATTATAATTTGAGCAATTCAAGCGTTTATACATATAATTCAGAATGTCAATCATGATCTTTTGATCAAATATTGCGACGCCTATGCCTGTGCTCGCCTTTTTGCAAAAAGCACTGTTATAAACGCTTCACGTTTCTAGTTTTTTTCAGTCTGAATGTGCAATTCTGTTTGACATTCAACATAGTGATGGACTGCTTTTAGGTCGGAGAGGACTATGTCAAAGAAGTATTGCGTAAACTGTCTCTTATCGCTGCTGTAGACGGAAGAATCACAGTCACTGTTCGAGATGTTTACTCCTATGGTATAGCTGCATCAAGATAAGGGTCTAAGCGAGTGTCCATCACTCCAATTCAGAATATGCAATTTACTGTGTGATACCATGTTTGAAGTATCGAATTTCACCTGATGAATAAAGGATAAACTTGCGATTTTGCTCAACTTAATTTTTCGTGTTGCATCAGAAAGTTCCCTAAGGCCCGTATGCACGTACATCCCCGCGGGGAGGGGAGGGGATCTGAGAGGGGAACCGTCATATTTCGCTACTCCGTATACCTTTCTTCTTCCTTCTCTGTGATATGAAGGTTCATATACCCTGATACCTACGCATGATAGATGCCAGGTTACTGCCATACAAGATTAGATTTTCACCAGTTTGGGTGATCCCCTGGGGATCCCCAGGGGATAACCTCTCATTTTCGAAGTCATTTATCTTTCTGAAAACTCCATTAAAATGCTGTAAAGTTGTACTGAGGATATACAACGGCACTGCCAAGCATGTTTTTGACAGAAGAAATGAAATCTGAAGGTTATCAATTTTTCGATAATCCCTGGCTCGCGAGCAGCGGTTCATCGAAAATTTCGATATCCTGAGATTTCCCTTATTTCTACTATAGACATGTTTAGCAGTACCATATTATACCAAGGAAGACGAAAGATAAACAGAGTAGCGAAATATGACGTTTCCCCTCTCAGATCCCCTCCCCTCCCCGCGAGGATGTACATGCATACGGGCCTAAGAATAAGCTCATCAAATATAACGATCGTAAGCTACTAGGCTGATGCACAATTCCTGCACCAAAATAGGTACAGACCGCAATAATCCGGAATCTTATATATAAAGTTGAATGTCTGTTTGTATGTCTGTATGTCTGTATGTATGTCTGTATGTACGTATGTTCCGAATAGAAAATTCCATTTCTGAACCGATCGGGACCAAACTTGGCACACATACACTTCGGGCCCCGGCGAGTGTCACAGTCCACTTTTCGTCATCGATCGATATCGATTTTATCGATTTTTTGCAAAGTTTGAGCTAAGGGGCTGGAATTTGGCAGAGGGGTGTAATCGAGCATGCTGATCACCCCCGTGGGCTCGATTGAGCATGCTCGATAACGAAAAGTGGACTGTGACACCCGCCGGGGCCCGAAGTGTATGTGTGCCAAGTTTGGTCCGGATCGGTTGAGAAATGGAATTTTCTATTCGGAACATACGGCGGAGCCGGGTAAGCCAGCTAGTATCCTATATTCCAAATAGGATTCGATATATCATTGAATGGAGCAAACCTAGCTCTACAAGAAAGTGCTTAAAGTTTTGCAGCAGCTTTGATCTAAGCAAAGATTGAAGCCAAGAAAGAAAAAGATCCAGGCTCCCCGAAAAACCAAGAAAAAAAATGGAATTCCGTTCAGAAAAATCCTTAACCCTTTTGGACCTGGTGTTGGCAATTGCCACCATTAATTTAGAGTCATGCTGTACTGCTGCAAGAAAACCATTTTACTACTCATAGCCATAGAACGCTTCATATAGTCTTTGTCTTCCAAATTTAGCTTTGAAACCGCGTGTTCATTTGTTTTCCTGTCTGCAATATATACATTTCTGTATACAAGTGGATTGCAACCAATCAATACTTTGCGCCAGCTTCAGCACCGTTTCAGGATCTCGTTTATTAGCCAAAAAGTAGTCATATTATTATCAGAATGTTCGAGCACAATGTTGAGTAATGTAACTGCTGATTGTTCGCAGGTCCACATGTATCGAGGGAGATTTAAAAATCTAAAATAAACGCAAAACCAAGAAATTAAAAAATCAAAAATAAATAGTTTATGGGCTCGAAAAGACTCCGTCGTGAGGTTATTCATGTTGTAGTAAGTACAAAACAGTGTTGGTGAGGCTCCTCTGCTTACTCAGAAAACTCAGGTTTGCTCATGCATTGCCATTTCCTATAAGACATTTCTCCATGCAGTTGCTGTATTTTTTTCTCAGCTAGAAATTGAGAAAACGAAGTTTTTCCAAAACAATGCTGAGATTATCTAGCACTGACAGTTGTACACTATAGGACTTTAGAAGCGTGAGTGTGAATTTTCAGCTTTTTACAGCAATTAGTTTACGAGAAATATCGACTTTTTAGCAATTATGTAGGCAAAAAAAATTCGGATAAAAGAGCTAGATTCGTCATTTCTCGTGAACTAGTGTTCTAGAAGGCTGATGTAACGTATTCTAACTGCATGTATTATACACTCTTAGTGCTGGAACATCTCAGCACTAATTTGGCAAAAACATGAAAAACTTCGTTTTCTCAATTTTTAGATGAGAGAAAAATACAGCAACTGCATAGAGAGATGTCTTATACGAAATGACAATGCATGAGCAAATTAGAAATTTTGGAGGATTTTTCTAACGGACTTCCAATTTTTTCTAGGTTTTTCGGAGGCTTAAATCTTTTTCGTTTTTGACTCCAATCTTCTCTTGGATCAAAGCTGCTGCAAAACTTTAAACACTGTCTTGTAGAGCTAGGTTTGCTCCATTCAATGATATATCGAATCCTATTCGGAATATAGGATCATTCCGGATTATTGCGGTCTGTACCTATTTTGGTGCAGGAATTATGCATCAACCTAATATTTAAGCAATTGAGTCGGCAAAAAAATTTTTAGATATTTTTGACGGGAATCCTATTCCTTGTAATTTAATTAATTAATTATTCCTTGTAATTTGCACGCACATAAGTGAAAACTTGCAGCCGTATTCTCGCGCGCATTTATGTAAATATCTAAAATAGCTTATATCCGATCAAGTGGGAGGAGTCCGGTATCAATGGGGAGGAGTCTGCCACTTCTTAATAACCTCGTTTTTTGTTATTCGAGCTCAAATCCCATACATCCTATGCATGTGGGTATAAGTATATGTTTATTATGGCTTGGACCATGTGGGAATGTCATTACGTTTGTGGGTGGATATCTGGGTTAGGTAAAAATTTTATGGTGTCAGATTTTTGCCTGTATCCTCACAGGAAATATTGGTCGTGATTTTGCTTACAGTCTGCTCCAATCGGGATCAGGCCGAACCTTCGGCGTAATTCTCCCAGGTCTGCGCTGCACATGCGCGCTGTCGGAGAGAGCGAAAAGATTGAAGAGAGGGCAGAGAAGCAGGCCATGGGCGTGACCGCGAAACCCTATCGACGCGGTCTCCCGCCATGCCAATTTTGGCCTGGCTGGGATTGGGTCAGACTGTACCATTCCCTTATACTTCTTACATTTTCTCTATTTAATGGTGTGCAGCATGCTTCACTTGTACCTCATCGTCAGATCGAAACAAAAATTTTGCCGAGTGCAATTTCCGAAAGCATTCTTACCGATCTAGTTATTAATTGTAGATTGCTAATTGATACACAGTGAAAGAAACAGTTTTATTTAAATGTACATTGCTTTTGAAATCTTGGATTTTACTGGAATTGAAGTTTGATTCTTCTTTCATCTACTCCTGCGCATAAGTTTCCAGCTGCTTTCGATCTTCAACGACTTCACTCCCCTAAAATTTGCAATAATTGATGCACACCACACAAATGTTTGTTAATTTTACGAAATTTTTAACGTTTTGAAAAGGATAACTGTAGCTGAGAGGTTCGGTGTTGTGAAATTGATGAATATGATTGACTTTCCGACGTCTGCTTGAATTATACACATGTGCGAGAGAGCATAAAATCAAAACGATTAAAAGAGACTGGATTTCACAACTTTTCATTTCATATTTAGATACCATGATGAGAAATGAGAGAGCGTTTTCACAGAAAACTATTTCAACTCTGCAATCTGAGAATGGATTCCTTTTCGCAGCATGAAATGTTATCATATTGACTGCATTCTTGTTTGTGAAAGAAGTACAGGAAAAAAGCTATCGTCGTGATTTAGACTAAAGGGGCTTTGTACCATCTGGCAAGGGTAACCGTAAGTGCAAAATTATCTTACAAACAATTATTTTTCTGTTAAAGAAAAGAATAGTTGTTTAAAGAATGCACGAAATGAGCAGAATGAGGGTTTCCAGCTTTACATCTATTCATTTGAATACGTAAGGTTGTCTTTAAAAAAGCGATTACAATCCAGTAACATAACTAAGTAAAGCAAACCTCAGAGTATCGTCAAGCGGATCCTTGGGTGGAGGCGCTATTGGAACATTTGGAGGTGGTCTGAAAAAGTACGCATAACATACAGCAATCAATTATGCTGTAAGCGTCTATGAATTTCAAACAAATATGCGTACATTTTGCTCTTTAAATGTAGTACCATGCACATCAGCCTAACACGATCGTTTACTCAAAGTAAAGCAAATTTGTGGAAAATGTGCAGAAATGAGGAAACTTTTCAAAACAGTTTTTTATGAGTAATTAAATAATACGCAAGTAAGATTTCTAAACTTTGTAAGCTACCATAGCCAAAACACTTTTTCTCAGCAAACGTCTCTGCCCTTCTGTCAGATCATTTTGCTTGTGCTGCAGAGGCGCTTGTAACGAGTAGCCGCCGAAATACACGGTTTTTGAATTTGGAATAAAATCCATGAAAGCTCGACGTTGTAAGTTCATAACCTGGCAAACAATATAGTTAGGGGCACTAGTTTGGTTTGGTCCGATAGCACTGATCACATAGTCTCTAGCTTACAAAAATACACGGGTAAGTCCTCAAAAAATGGACGAAAAGTGCAGGCGAAGTTGCAATCTTGCGTAGTATAGCTATTTTTCTCTCACATGGCTATATTGTAAGGCTCTTTAGTGCGAAATAACTAAGATTTTGTCGAACAAGGGTTTAAAAACCACTGTAAATAAAGCTTCCGGTTGATCCAAGAACATCAATTCAGCCAAAACCTGTGGCAGGGTTAGGCGCGAGGAACGGGAAAAAAACAAGCGGCCCAATTTGATCACAGAGATTATTTGCCCTGCTGATTACGAAAATCACATCTTCAAAAAAACTCCTTACTGTAGGGTTACGCTAATTAGATTTTAGGCAAAAGTGGTTCTCCAAAGTTTGTTAGCCGTTTTGCCTTCATACAAAGATTTTTTGTTTCTTCTTATAACAAGAAACTAGGGGAGCTGCTCTATCGGATGATGCTCATGAGAGGTCTCTATCTACAGGAAACATTTATCTACAGGAAACATTGAGTTGTTCCCCTACACATGAAGACAATCTGCGTTTGGCGTTCACTGATTCGGAATGGTAGAGTACATCTGGAAAGGTCACATTAGTTGTAGAGTTTTGCTTGTAAGTAGCGCGTCTAGGCAAGCAGTCCACTCCGCTATATTGTTCACCAAATACAGGTGTGATAAGCTAGCTTACGTACATTTTTTTCGTATAGATTGTTGACATAGCATGTGGCATAATACTTGCTGTGAAAAACTGCTTCAATAGCTGTTTTGTAAGAAACAACATACTATAGAAAATTGGTGGTCTTAGTTGTTAGAGTCAAGCAAAAGCAGGTAAAGCCCAATCACCAAATCGTGCATGGCAAAAAACAGGTTTATAAAAACATTTTTGATATTATTTGTTTCCTGCATAGATGGGAAGCAGTTCCTCCCCGTCCTCTTTATGTAAGATAGATGTAATAGCTAAGGCTTGCCTAGTCCAGAAATAATTGGTTTTAAAAAAGTTGATGTTGAAAGAAGACTGTGGAAGGTAGAGAACGGCTTCGAAAGTCTGCTCTTACTACCCATTCAGTGAGAAGACCAGAAGAAAATCCCGCATTGAATCCCACCTAAAGCGCCATAACAAAACCGATGTCAGGTTGCGGTGATTGAATTAGACAAAAACGACACGTCTTTGACACGCCGTTAGACTGCCTCATGCTCTACATCTATAGCGCTGGGAAGTCTCCACTGACGCCGGCCTCTATGCTCTTCTCAACGCTGCGGAGTACCACATCATCGTTGTGCATGATGACGATCACCGAGATGACGTTTGACAGTTGACTGGTGAGACCCTCATCGTTTTGCGGTAAGGAAATTCCGTAACGAAACGTTAAAGATACTGGCGTCGTCTACCCATTGATGTCCATCTTGTCAACTGATATGAGATCTTATCACTCGAGCTTCTACGTTCTCGCCAGAAGACCATCAGTATTCTCAATTGCCACTCACAACAACAGCAGCTGACAAAACAGAGCTGAATGCTCTGTAAGACATGGGTAGCGTCCTTCTTCGTTTTTAAGAAGAGAGAACATTGCTGATGAGCATGGAAACTGCTCAACGTAACTACTCTTGCGCAGATAGACCACATCTTCACCAGCTTAGTCGATTTTTCAATAGTTCCATCCTGCTGCAACAGCTTCGCTCACCGCCTTCCCAAAAGAAAGCTCGATTGAATCAAAAGCTAAAAAGAATTGCCAGGCGATGCAAGAAGGAATAAAGTCATTTATGAAAGTGACAGGAGAAGGAAGAAGCTTACATCAAGTTGTGATTAATAGTAGTAATGCGGAATAATGATAAATGCCAAAAATCCTTCAACTTACTTAGGTCGTATAGTCCATGTACGTGTTTTGGTGCGCGTTTCTTCCTTCGACCCGGGAACATCTTTTGTTAGCACAACCTAAAAGGCTCAAAAATTTGCGCATAAAAATCGGAAATCGAGAGAGCTAAGCATATAAGTAATAGCATGTGCAGATACCAGTGCGTCACCTCTGCTTCGCAGGGCTCGCACTAGATTTACCAACGACCTTCTTACTGCTCCCGCCATGGAGAAAGCTTGTTTTGAAACGCAGTGATTGATGCTGAGAATGCTGTTTGTCGCAAACAAAATATGATATTCCCTTTGGACGAACGAAACCTCACGGCAGCTTAAACCCAAAAGCAGTGTTCAACAAGCTCTGAAGCTCCAGAATCTTATTTGGGCTGTTCACTATGGCCCCCATTCGAAATATGACGAATGGAGCAAACTGGGCACAATTTTTAGAGAATCTTTATGTTTGTGGCATTATACATGCGTCTCCAACGGTGTGGGAGAACCGCGGGTGGGCGAAGTCGGAAAATGCTGTGGAAGGAGGCAAGAAAGCTGAGCCTTCCATGAGCTTAGAAGGGGGAATAAGAACCCTTTATGTTCAGATATGAACCTTCGACTCCATTGCACAACCTCAAGACTTTGAACCGCATGTACCAACATCCCCGCTGGGGAGAGGATCGCAGCTTAGAAGAAAGCTTCATATTCTGAAGCTCAATACATCTAAAATTCTGGCTGTTCATCTGGCCGAACCTGTTTCTACTATCCTACGTTGGGACGTATTGAACGGAAGCGAGAAGTTGTACAAGCCGCATTTTCCTTTTATATGATTCCGTGATGATTCCCAGCAGCCGGCTGTCTTCAAAGTCGTTTTTTTACTCAAAGTCAATGAAAACGTGCCAACCTTCCACTGATTATTCATTCGAACAGTGCTAAGGGTTGTTTCAGACTGCCGCACTGACTGCAGCAGACTGGCAGACTGCAGCTGACCGCATTGACCGCGGAGCCGCACAGATCTCTACATCCTTTTGTGAAGGTGGAGAGGATAAATAATTGTAGCTCAAACAGTCTTTCAACAATATATGCCACAATAGACAACACGGGAGTAAAATGGGTATATGCTGTGACAAAAGGAATCTGAACAAATATGAGCATATTATAGGAAAACAGTCACCAAAATTTGATTGAGAAGAGCAAATTAAAACCTATGAATTTTCTAGGCGTAAATCACAGTGTTTTGATGTATGCGCAACTATTTTCTCTTTTACGAAAGGGTGCAGCCATTGTGCGGCCGTTGCGGTCAGTGCGGTCAGCTGCAGTGCTGCAGTCTGCTCCGGTCAGTGCGGCAGTATGAAACAACCCTAAGCATATTCTGATAAGAACAAATGATGTATTGAGGTTATGAAGTTTGAGATGAAGCACAAGGAAAGTTGGGGTTTATCAAAAATTTTGATGTTATTTCGGTAATTCTGATGTTTAATTGCATGCGAACCTCTGATTGTCGCCTTCAAATCAGTTATTAGATAGCAGGTAGGCATTATCCGTAATAGCAATATTTGATGTATACTACTTCTCAAGCGGAAGTTATCCCAGGAAATTTTGGAGCACTGGTTATATCGCCATCATTTGGCGTGGGGATTACCCGAGTTTGCTAGTCATAGTCAAAGTTTCAAGTGCCATGTGGATCTTTTTGATGAGAAATGTTTCAAGGAAATCGCTCTTCATATAGTTTAGCAGGTCACTTTCACTTGGTAACCCAAACTTTGCTAATTCTTTGCTAAGAGCAACTACATATTCAGTAAGGTTAGAAGCAAACTCTTTTCTTGCTTTTCACAGAGCGCGTAGCCTTCCTGAGTGAAAGACATTTGGAGCTATCAGGCAGCATTTTGAAAAATCGTAACGTTTTCTCACTATTTTTGTATTACAAGAATCGTCGAAAATATCAAATTATGTTCTTTCTAGCCGGCCTCAACTATCTTCTACCAAGCTCTGATTGCAAAGATAAAATGATGGGAAGGTTATCCAAGTTTCGGTGATTCTGCGGAGGCTCGTAGAAATTATGAAAACCATGCAGTAAAGCTCAATAGTTGGCAATAAAGATTATAAGTTCTCCTTTTCTTAAATGTGCAGATGTGCTGATCGAGCTCCTTTATGGAAACTTACGACTGGAAAATGCAAGAACTGGTTAAATCGATTTTTTGGCCATTTTATGATCACAACTCTTTCCTCGAATGCGCTCGATCAGCACAAGCTTTGCACAGGCATAAGAGAAAGTCTTAATATACCACCAAATGTTTTGAGTTCTTTTGCATGGTTTATTTTTTATGAGCCTCCTGAGAATCACCAAAGCTTGGATGATCTCACTCATCAACTTTGTCGCTGCAATCTGAACCCAGCAAAAGATGGCCAACGTATCACTGAATTAATTGATTCAACATTCTTAACAGTACTTGTATTGAACAAGATCGTTGAGACTGAAAGAAGTTACGATTTCTTGAAAATAATAAGACAGAACTTCAAGACCATCCTGATTTCACGCGTACAAGGCGCGGGGGATTTTTTTCTAAAATTCGCCAGCCCAAACACGCCACAACACTTCGCGACCAAAGAACCCTATACCGGGCTCCGTATTGCCCAGGGCCCGGCACAGATCGTCTGGAAGCAGGCTCGACCTCGTTTCTGAAGCATACAGCAAAGGGGATATTGTTTTAGACGAGTCGGCACCGAGCACCAAGAATAAGCGCCATTTGGTCAAACACAAGCTTTTCGGACAGGTTATCACACGATTGACATGCTCTCTCATGCATGGCGAAAGTGCGCGCGATTTCAAAGCCAGGCTGAAATAAACAAATTGCTTGTTTACAGCGCACACAGAAGCATATGACACCAAAAGGACTGTATGTATAGAAAATTATTTGCGAAAGTAATATGTAAAAAGACTTGAAAACTTATGCGAAGTAATACCTTTTCCAAAATTAGATCGTCTCCAGACGGCCACCAGACGATCTGAGATCGTCTGGAGCATATATTTTCGTCACTTCACATAAGTTTCGGATCTTTTTAGCATGGACAGATTCCCCGGTCAAAAATCTATCCCAGAGCATAAATACATTTTCATATCAATGCCTTTCCTTTGTTTTTTGTCCTTCATTTCTTCTCGCTTCGTTAAATATCGCGCTCTAATGCCAAAGTCTTATGTGTAGTATTCAGCTCCAATCTGGATTTTCACACTTATCTTACGTCTTTTCTTTCAGTCTAGTAAATCTTTCTTGTTTTCATCTTCTCCTAAGCAGGTAGGTCAAAGGGGACTTCGTAAAACTTCCGAAAGTCAGGGGAGACTTCGTTTTCAGAAACCCTAGAAACCAACTCGTGCCGGGCCCTGGTATTGCCTGAGAGAATTGAACGGTTTAAGGTTCGCTTTTCGAAACACATTAAAGCGGTTGAGCGGCTTTTTTGGAAAATCGAAAAAGGTGCGCCTTGTACGCGTGAAATTAGGGTAACTTAATATACTGTCAAGGTTGCGCGATATGTAATATTAGGCTGTACCGGTAATTTGTCCATTTTTTTGCTCAGTTTCTGAAACACGCTGACTGACGACGACCTAGTGGCTGCATTTCCTCACTGTTCTAAGCAGTCATTGCGATGTATCGCGCGGATCTTTGAGCGGTTTGATAGCGACGTCAAAATTCCCATACTTTTTTAAAAAAGTCCTCAGCACTTGAGCAATGGCAGCTGTTATGTGGGGTAGATCTTTGGTTGGTACCTTTATCTTAGATTTTCTGAGTCGAGATTTTGAACTTATCAATAAGAAAAATCTAGCAAGGAAGGATACTAACTTAAAATAAGCCTTTTGAGATATGACACATGTGCTTAAAATCAGCTTGAAATGCTGATTCCAAATATGTGGCTCTTAGCTGCTGAACGTTTTTCTGAAGCAAAAGATAGTCTCCTTTCTGTGCAAAATTTGTGTGCTCATCGACTTACTGATGGTACGGTGTCTAGGTTTCTGCAAAAGCGTATTGCTCCCTTTCGAGATCGAAAGCTTCAATCAGATATTAACATAACAACATCTTAACACTTTTTTCTAGCAGATTCCCATCTACGGGCCGTTTTAGCACATCCAGAAGTATGTCAATTACTCATAATAGCAAGTTCACAACTCATTTCAGAATGGCGCTCAGCAGCTAGGAACATCATGTTTGGAATCAGCGTTCCAAACTGATTCCGGAAGCATGTGTCCCATCTCAAAAGGCGGATTTAAGTTTGTATCCTTTCCTTACAAGTTTTTTGAGCACATGTAAAGCATAGGCCTACCAAAAATTCAAAGCTGATTCTCCGAAGCCGATCATTGATTTCTGCACAAATGATATTAACGATGAGGCTTTGATTGGCAAAAACTTCGGAAGCTTGCATGTTTCTGCTGCAGTTATGTTTTCTGGATTTATCAAATCGAGAATTCTTTGTAAAGGTCCAAACAGCAGATTGGAAGAATCTTTAAGACTGCCATATAGTTCGAGATTTGCTCTATTCGAATTATACATGTTTTCTGCTAAAGTAAAGCGAAGTTTTAGGAATTAGACAAATTCTGAGCAGATAGAAATGACATATGAAGGGTTCTGGCAGTTATAAGAAAGCGTACAGAACCTTGGTAGGGATTGTACCCATGCCAAAGGGATGAAAAAACTGTGCAGGAATACATGTTCTGACTATTTTGGATCTTGTATGTCTTGTAGTCGCAAAAAAAACCTTCAAGAACAACCTAATATGACTACACCAGCCGCTTTCTGCCGCTACGCGGCAGATTCGGCTGTTACTCGGCAGCTTCGCTGCCTCGTACACTTTTCATTTTAATGTATACCAATGTAAGATCAAGTCATTTGATTGCCTGTTCGTACGAACTACTTCTGCTTATGACCTGTTTAGATCGACAGACCGAAGACATAATTTTGTACCTGCAAGTTTATTGAATCAACATCATAAGCAACAAATAGTATGCGATTAACAACAACATAGAATGGCTGCAACAGTGACTACACCAAAAAAGAAGATGCCAACAACAACGATAAGTACAACAGAAAAGGCCTATGACACAACAACAGTAGCGAAGAAGCATCCGTAACAGCAAAAATCTTAGAGTGTAGAACTTCACAGGACTTCGGTGAAAACGACGTTGATTGGATTGCTTTGGATTGGCGACTTGCACAATGAGACCTTCACGCGACCTCGAACGCCTGAGGGCCACATAGAGTTGACCGTGACTGAAGACAACGGTGGGAAGCCACAATCCAACCTTGGTGAAGGATTGGCCTTGGGCCTTGTTGATGCTCATAGCGAGCGCCAATCTGATGGGGAATTGGGAGCGCCGGAGTCTGAAGGGCAGATTCTTGCCGTTGTTGTTGTGGATCCTCGTAATCACGACAGACTGCCCATGCCGTTACATATTATGAATTTGCATTGTATGAGACGACGGCCCATATCGCGGACTTGTAGTCGTGTTCCATTGTTCTAGCCCGGATGAAACATCCAAGTTCCTAAGCAGCATGACGATGGCGCCTTCTTTCAACTTGAGACAGTGCGGCGGCAAGGAGGAGCTAGAGATTGTGTTGAGAAACTCGGTAGTACTAAATTGATTCTGGTCGTTAGCGTCGACGATGACAATTTTATCGTGCGAATAGTAAATCTTTTCTTCACCTTGTATGCGGCTTAGAACTTGTTCGTTTATGGAATTCACGTCGGCGTTCTTGGGGGCAAGGATAGCCTGATCAGACAAATCAGCCAATGGTTCGATGCAGTCGCCGTATAGCTCTTGGACTATATCTCCTCGACCCATGATTTCCGTTGGCAGTTCCACTCGTCCCTGGCTGTCATTGACGGTGCTGTTGCCCACACGCAATAGAAAGTCCTTCCAAGTCCTTTCCTTCCAGTCCTTCCTTCCTTCCATCGCGGCTCGTCACTCGCATATTTTCGGAAAGGCGGAGTACTATGAAATGCGGCCAAAGGGAGGACTGCTTAATGCACATGTTTAGTTGGTCTGCTCGCGATCCGCTGCGAACAACCGGTAAGATCTGCCTGAAGTCGCCTCCGAGAACGACCATTTTTCCGCCAAAGGGCTTGTCCACTTGCATAATACCGCGTAGTACAGCATCCACCGTCTCAAAAGCCGTTTTTGGGATTATAGAGGCTTCGTCCCAGATGAACACGTCGTTTTCGGCGAGCAGACTCGCGTCCTTCATCTGCCTTCTGTGGGATGATGTCTCGCAGTTGTTCAAGATATTTAGCTTGAACAACGACACCGTTGTGCGACCCGATGGGAGCAGGTTGGCCGTGATTCCTGTCCACGCTGTGCACGCGACTTTGCGCCCTTGACCGATGAGGATATTAAAAAGACATGTATAGATCCACGTTTTCCCTGAACCGCCCGGACCATCGATGAAGAAAAGCTTTGGAGCATCTGGGACATCGAGAGCACCAAGAATGGTGTCAACCGCTGCCTTTTGCTGTGAATTTAAAGTCCCATATAAGCGATTACCTTCGGCTGAGCGAAATGCAATATCGTGCGCGTGCTCAGACAATCGCCGGGGGCAGGCGGGCACCTGAAAAATAGATTGCTGATTTCTCGCACCCCGCTCGCGGATTTTTTGGAAAGCAATCAGGACTTTTCGGAAGACCGCTTGCTGAGTCAGCGGATTTTTGAGAGACCGCCTGTTGAATTTTTTTCGCTCTTATCTTTTGCAAATATACTGCTGAATCTCTGAGGAATCGAGAACTCAGCAAGCGGTCTTCCGAAAAGTCCTGATTGCTTTCCAAAAAATCCGCGAGCGGGGTGCGAGAGATCAGCAATCTATTTTTCCGGTGCCCGCCTGCCCCCCGCGATTGTCTGAGTGAGCGTGGGACGACGGCCTAACGACGGTGTGGGAATGTTGAATTAGCAATGTTGATATTGTTCTTGATAAGTCGCTCTTCAAGATCTCCGCCTTGCGCCACGTGCTCGAGTTCTCTGCGCAATGTAATCTGCGAACTGGAAGTGGAGGTAGGTGCCAGTTCAAACATTACTTGTTGCCGCGAGTCAAGCGTAGAGATCGTTTGTGCTGTATTCTCGTTGATTCGCTCGTATCCTCGTTGGCCAACCCGTTCTGGGCTCGCACCATGCCTGGATTGATCCAGTGTCTCCTGAAGGTGTCCGTTGAGCTGTGGTTCCTGTTGTCGTCGACGAAGATGACGTTCACGCATTGAGGCAAGACGCCGTTCTCGTTCTTCTGGTGTTTCTCGGCTACGACGAAGGCGGCTACGCATGGCTTCAGAAGTGCGCCTTGCTGCGGTACGGGCTCGGGTTCTCTGGGCGATACGCATCTGCGACTGAGGTATGGAGGGGGACGGTCCATTGCTGGAGGGGGTCAATGTCGGCGCCACCATGGTCTCGGTAATAACAGTAGTCGAAGGAGGTACAACCGATGAAGGCATGGTATGAATGAACCGTAAGGACGGGATAGGGTAATTTGATTTGTTGGTCATATTTGATACCGTGGATGAACCATTTTGATTTTGTTGATGAGCTGATCAGTCGACGAAACCCGTTGCGAAAGGTCAACGCATAGTTGGATATCAGCTAGTCTCCAGAATGTGGCATACAAAGAATCAAAAAAAAGCAAAAAAGTTTAGTGGTCAAAGTTGTAGATATTTTGATCAAATTAATCATGCTCAGTTATCCCTTCCTGCCATTTTCAGCTCAACAGAGATTAGAACATGAAAAATCGATAAATTGATGGCGCCAGTGAGTGATTTTCTGTGAAAAAGCTTAGTGACACCCGCCCCACCCCAATCTTCATATGTGCAAAGTTTCATTTAAATTCAGTCAAGTTTTCTAACATTTTAGGCCGGTCATAACGGACTTGCTAAGCGAGAAACGCAAAAAATCGATAAATCGATAGCGCCACTTGGTGATTTTCGGTGAAAAAGCTTAGTGACACCCGCCCCACCCCGATCTTCATGTGTGCAAAGTTTCGTTTGAATTCAATGAAGTTTTCTAACATTTTAGGCCGGTCATAAAAAAAATGCTTATCCAAATATTATATAAGTATTGATATCGTGTTCAATGAAAATAATAAAAACGTAGAAGAAAATAATAGCCCTCGAAAGAAAGGAAGCTTACCCCATCTCTATCTTTATGTTTCTTTTTACGGCAGAACACTGTGAGGACGGCCATCACTGGTAACTGGACTATCTGAACACGTGTTATTTAACATCAACGATGGATGTTTTCACTGTTTTGGTAATTCATTAACGCTTTATCTGTAACATTTAGAAATATGGATATATTGTAAACGTTTTCTCAAAATTATCCATATATTAGCCTCTTGACCCTCTACAATCCCTTTCAGCTCCATCTTTCATGTTCTCAGAAAGAACTCTATTTCTGTGGACTCCACGATTTTAGAGGGTGGAGCTGACAATACGGGCGGAAACAGAGACACTAGAAAGTCTAACTCTTACGAAGCGCCAAAACATTTGATGTTTGTTATGTATAAAGTTGTCTCATAAGTTTCTTTCGATTACCAAGTACTTAGTCCTTTCCTATCTTCTTCCTTTGTCATGAGGAAGAGGTGAAGTTATGTCAAAAGCCGTGTAAAAGGCTCGCACGCTACAATTGCCTCTTCGACTATGAAGTAGTGTGCGTTCGGCACATGGCCGCTGAGGTTATCGAAGACGCCGAGTTCTCTATCCTCTTATCCTTTATCTTCCTTTGTTTAGTTGCTTGGATTATCTTTCGACAAAGCAAGCTCTAAAAGATGGCGTGTCCGCTCAAATTGTAGTCCATCTAAGTAATATCCAAAAAATCCTCAATTACCTCCAGCAGGCCTCGGGCAGAGTTCACGCGATTTGATCGTCGCGATTCAATCGCGACGAGACAACTGTAGCAACATCATTGCATGCCGATCTTATCGAGTGAACTCTGCCCGAGGCCTTACACCTGACAATCAAACACTAATAGCTGGCAAATCGGTCTCCGCCCAGCCCTGTCAATAATAATTCACAGTAATCATGCTCACTCGCTCAAACTATGTAAAAAAATCGACAAAAATCGATAAATCGATATTGCTGACAACGAAAGGCCTATGATATCCGCCCGCTCCGAAGTGTGTGTACCAATTCGGCTCAATCGGTTCAAATAAAGATATTTCTATTCGAAATATATGTACAGACATACAGACATGCATGAAAACAGACATTCGCCTTTATTTATAGAGATTTAATTATACAATCGTACTTTTCCCATGGATAGAAAACAAGAAAAAATGATGAGAGTGAAATGGCAAACTTCGCCTTGGGCCGCAGTTCCTCTCACAAGGGAAGGATACTTGGTGACCGTGGCCTTTTGCATTGGTGTGTAGACCAGTACATGTGCCTTGAAACACTGATTCCAAATCTATGTTCACTACTTGCTGTGCGACCCTCTGAACAAAGTTAAGGACTTCTTTCCATATTAATTTTACAAGATTTAGGAAGTCAAAATCGTCAGCGTCCGGGCTTTCAGATTCTGATCTATATGAGGCAGTTTTCCTGAGCTTAATGTGACGCTTTATTTAATTTTGACGCTTTTTTGCGTAAGTGAACATTCCCATGATATTGGTGGATCCTGTTCATTAAAACAATGCAGATTTTGATGGCAATAAACATTCATAACGTCTTTCGGAAGAGCGCACCGCTGATAAAAGTAAATTTGGAATCAGCGCCTCAAGGTACCTATAATGGTGTACTTTTCATTTCAAAAGGCCACGGTCACCGAGTATCCTTCCCTTATCAGACACATTACACTCAAAAGTGCGATTATAAAGGGTGTCCCAAAATGATGTGCACACTGTTTGATCGTTAATAACTCTCCTGCTTTCAAGTTTTTTGTCGAGCTTAAGGTACCTTTCTGTAGAGCGAGGTTCAACTTAGATGTGTCGTATGGAGCAAATCATCGATCGCTCTTCGTTACTGTAAATCATTGTGGGAACTTCGGATGGTTCTAAGCCATCAAACGCGGAATTTTGCCGGTATTTTGCCTCAGAAAGAAAGCCGAACAAGCCGGAAAGGAAGCTCTTGAAGTGGGCTAATCGAAGTCGCTGATTCTAAATATAAAATTTGCTCTTCAGTATAGCGCTTCTTTCATAAGTTATTTCAAAATTTGGCTGACATGTCTTTCCAATGTTCGTCAAAAATGTGAATACGCCATCAAGAAAGCCCGAAAAACCTGTGAAAAGTCATGTGTGAAGTCAGCACGCTTGAAAACTTTGCTATACAAATTTTCAGATTTTTTTGGAATTATTTCATCAAAAGACGTTTGCCGCAGTGACGCTGTATGCTGAAAGTTCATACCGTAATTCCACAGCAATGAAGAGTGACTGGTGATTCGCTCCATGCTCTAAACGTAAGTTGAACTTCGCTCTACAGAATGGTACATCAAGCTCGGTAAAAGACATGAAAGCAAGAGAATTATCAACGATCAAACAGTGTGCACATCTTTCTGGGACACTCTGTATACAGGGTGTCCCAAAAAATGGGCCTATTGTTTGATTGTTAATAACTCTCCTGTCATGCAATCTTTCGGGAAGAATTAAATACCATTTTGTAGAGCTGGCTTCTTAGATTCACAGAATGGAGCGAATTACCGATCTTTCTTCATTACTGCAACATTGCGGTAGGAACTTGCGACATATAGCACCACTGTGATATAGGCCGTTCGAAAAAAAATTTGCAAAAAAATCTGAAAATTTGTGCAGCAAGGTTTTCATGCATACTGATTTCACTACATGATTTTCAGCGTGTTCGCATAGCTTTTTGAATGGCCTAATCAGATTTTCGACGAATATCAGAAATTTGTGGTTACGTTGGCATAAAATACAAAAAAGCAATAGGGTGAAGTGCGAGTTTCATACTTGGAATCGCCGACCCCGAATAATCTAGTGTAAGAATTTTCAGCTTTTTGGTCCTTTTTTAAAAGTAAGTAATGACCCTCAAAGACGCAAAACCCTCCTCGAAGTTCCTGCACTAATCCTACAGTAAGGAAGAGAAGGCGGTGATTTAGGCTGTAAATCTAAGCTGAAGCCGGCTTTACGAAATGGCACCTAAAGCTTTTTAAAAGACGCATTGACAGGAGAGTTATTAACATTCAAACAGTAGGCACATTTTTTGGGGCACCCTGTATGTCTGTAAAGGTTGCTGCATGAGAAGGCGCAAAAGCAGTATTAGTCCAGTGGGCGCGAACGCGGCGCGCGTATCTTCACCGTTGTAGAACCTGCGCCTTATGCGCTCTGACGTAAAGCCGCATTCGTGCCCAAAGATATTGCGCCTACGTCATGCAGCAGCTTATACCTTTATAGATGCTATAGTTCTTAGGAGATACTGATTTTCGGATCAAAATCGGAAATGAGACAACCTGATAGAAGTGCTTTATGCAGAATTCGGAGCTGATGATATACAAATTAGGTTGTTACATAAGTTTTGTTATGCTTGACAGAAAAAACAGTCATAACTTTCTCAGGAAATTTTTTCCACTTCTATATCAAGTATGGAGTTGAACTAGTATATATTTTTATACATTTTTATAGTATGTTTTCAATATATACCAGTGACCGCCAAAGTTGAGGACAAGCCGCCCTCCTTTCTCGTCGCTCCTCTTCAGATGGAAAACAAGGATGAAAATCCAATTGCAAGAGATGATAGAGCTCTTCAAGAGCTACAACCCACACATTACGCTTCTGGAAGACTTGGATTCTAAAATTTTGAAAATCTTCTTTTAAAAGTCAAAAAATGGCCGCGCCACAAAGTAGCGGGCAACAATTTTTCAACGCGAGAATTTCAAAGGTTTTTCAGAGCGAAAACACAAGCAATCCGAAATGATAAGCATACTACAATAATTTTTCTCCACGAAAGCGATGCCAAAAAATAGTTCAGATTTCTTTCATCTTTTCTGGGAAATTGCATGTGGAATCGAGAAAATTTCTGCTCATCATTCGGTGAGTATGAGCTACTGCTATCATGAAAACCGCCAAATCATTACAGCCTACGTACATAGAAAATCGAATTTATCTCTTGATAAGAAGTTTTTCCTGCTCAAAGTTCGCTCTAATTTGGTAGAGCTTTCAGTTTGTTAGTTATTTATATTTCATTGGTGATCAGCATCATTCGGGTAAATTTTAACAACAAACTTTGAATAGGAGAGGGCGCTGAACGGCGCTAAGACTTAAACGCAAGCCTTGGCTCCACGCGGCAAATTTCGCTATTTAGAAGAGCGCCTGTAAATGTTAGAAGCTTCTGCTCGAAAAAGTGTAGAGTTCAGCCGAATTTTTTTAAAGCATATCACAACTCTTACTCTACCCGGAAAAAGCTCCTATGCATATGTCAAGAATGCGTTGCATAGGTGGGCCCGCAAGCAGTCACTGTGGCGAGGGGAGAGGCGTCGCGTTTCAATGATGAAAAGGCAGTAACGGCGTTTGTCTGCGGTTCATTTATCTCTATATATAAATAAAACTCAGAAATTGTCTGTTTGGACTTGTTTACGTTTTTCTAAGGAATTGAAGGGTTATCTTGTATAATCAAGCATTTTGTCATAGTCATGTAAAGGAGGGCGGTGAAGCTCATTTTCAAATCAGGATTAGGAGGATGCGGTTTCGAAGCGGATGTTCCAGGGTAAGTTATCCATAACAATATAAAAGGGGAGGGGTTGCTCGCAGTGCAGGCGAACAAATGGTCCGGGCTGGACCGGGAAAGCCAACCGCCGCAGGAATTTTCATGTATATATGCCAAATAAGCGTTTGACCAGCGCCAAGCACGTAAAGTAAGTCATGTGGAGCAGCATCCACGTTTCCGCGACCTCCATAGCTGGAATAATTTGATAAATGGATGTGCTTTGGTGGTAGAACAGAATCCTGAATCCATTCCAGACTGCCCCCAATTCTATCTTTCAGCAGCCATATTCGATGCTTGGAATGGAATAGTTTCATTTCGATACAATCTATCGAAGCGGTCAGTCTAACAACATAATGCTTCCCAAATTCAAATGTCTCACTTGGCCATATAATTGGGATCGGAGATCTATGGGGTGCATGCTTGCCGCACAGTAGGCGGACCACTGGAGACAATTATTCTATGGATCTTACTCTACCCAGTAGAATATCTGAACAGTCCTGAACTACCGGGAATGCCGCCGCATTTGTTGAGACTGAAGAAGAGTGCAAT